AGAGCGTCGCCGGGGCAGAATCGTTATTTTTAGAGAACCCCGAGGGCAATTTCAACTAACCATCTCTAACGTCATCTCGTCAGTGACGGTTGCAACGCTGAGTGGGTCCCCCCATTTTTATTTTATTATTTTAATTTTCGCTAACGGCGAGTCGTGTCCCATGTAACTAGAAAAGATCAAAATAAACCCAAATCGGAATATATATATATATTTTTTCCGGATCCAAGGCTCGACATTTTGCTTTGGCAGCGAGTTTAGTTTCCCACTAAAATATTAGGATGAACGGCTAATGTACAAAGGTATCACCACTAAGCTGCCATTATTTGATTGCCATTTTTATGAAATATATTTTGCAAATTGAATACAAAAATAAGAATCAAACACGAAAAACATATAAAAAAATCAACGTTTTTCTAGATCGAATAATTTGTTTCCTTTGGAGGAAAAAAAAGAAAAAAGATTTCCTGCCACGGAGGTCACTATTCCAATGGAGAAACAAAACCCATGTAGTTAATTTTTGTCGCAAAGAGGATCAACAATTGTACAAACGTCATTATTTTCCACCATCAGAAAGCAGGATGAACAGCTCTTAACCAGTAAGATTATGAAGAAATCGGTTAAATAGATATGAAGAGACAAGCATATTCTAATTTAAAACATTGAAAAAACCGTACCACAAAAACTTGCTAGCGAATGGCTCACCAACTCCAACAGGAAGGAATCAACACCTGACCTCTTCTACTCAAATCTGGCTACGGGAACTAGATAAGATATTGTACCTTTGGATTGCCAAAGACAGTTTTTATCTAGGAGGGGGAGGAGGAGGGGGGCCAAGGGACTTTGCCATTCCAACCCAAGCTACGATCCCCACCGCAAGGATTATCCAACCGCATACGTCGTACGTGAATTCGTAGTTTTTCTTTTTCTTCTTGCCACTCTGCAATACGGTCAAAATGAAAGGAAATTGCATCTTCAGACATTTAAAACGAATCAACAAGCCCACAACTAACGATCTTGCTCAGTGCAGTCACTACTATTGGGAATTACGGCCGACCCATTTAATTAATAACCGAATAACCAAAGTGATCCAAGCCGAATAACATATGACTAGAACCAAACTGAATCCGATAAAAACCAAACGGTCATGATACCTCTAAAACCGAAAAACACAAACCAATTAAAGAAACAACTGAAAAATGGAAAATTTCTTAGAAAAATGAGTATTTTTATCAATAAAAACGGACCCCGAATCGAACAAATTCAATATAAAAACCGAATGGTTATAATTTTTCTAAAACCAAAGTAACCAAACTCGAATATAACCAAAACTAACCCGAACCAAAACCCGAAATGGCCACCCCAATCGGGAATGCATCAAATAGAATGTGTTTTAACCCCTAAAAACAAAAGCAGGCTCTTTAAGCTCACTAGAATTTGAAAAACCCATTTCATAATTCATAACCATAAGTGCAAAACGAGAAATCCAACGAGATGGATATCTTACACTAGCATTTGAAGATGCCGAAGGTCCTCCACCTAGTGCTTGTTGCCCCAATCCATGCTTATGAATCTCCATATGCAGTTCCGGTGCCTAAGAAATGAACAGCGATTTAGATCCTCAAACAAAAAATGCATCCATAATGTAACAGGTTTTCCAATGTGCAATGACTTTCACTTCAATTCATGATACAAATTCTGTACAAGGAGGTTGAAAATGAAAACCAAACATAGTAATGGTACCTTTGCTGCCACTTCCAAAGACTTACGATATAGTTCATTACTCGGATCCTAAGAACACAAATTTTAAAAAATCAGCCTCAGTCAGCTAAATTCAAGATATTAATTCATATCCCTGTCAAAAATATAAAACTTGCAAAGCTACCTCATTTTCCGCTCTCTGAAAATACCCAGCAGCTTTATCAAAAAGCACCTTGGCTTCATCAGCATCTGAAATGAGGAATGCCTGTGAGGTGTGGGCGTTTCCCAGGCACCACAGAGCCTCATGTTTCATCGGATTTATTGTCAATGCCTCTTCCAACTTAGAGATAGCATCTACATCATCGATATTTTGTTACATATGGAACAATTATAACAAAAAAGGCGATGCAAAAGAAAAGAGACAAATCAATTCTTTGAACCTTAGCTTCACAAAGAAGAATTGATACCATTTAACATCTGCTTTGCATCTGGAACACTCTGGAACTGAGATAATTCGAGCAATGCACCACCCCATTTGATCAAATTCTGCGAAAATGGAACACCCAGAAAATACAGACTCAGAGGTAGATGGCCAAAGCAAGTTAAGTTAACCCGAGACTTCTTTCAAGACATTGACGAGATTGAATAGCAACTCAATTTGAGCATTTTACCACTACACTCGTTGTACCAACCAAAATATTTACTATGAGATGGAAAAGTATATACGATCATGCCAGGCAAAAACTTTACAAAAATGCATCCATAAGACCATTTCGACAACGAAAACGAAAATAAGACGAACCCGATCGCGGGATTGGCACAAGAGATCATGCCAGAACAGAGCTACAATATGACCAATACAAATTAACCAGGGATCGTTCCGATTCACATCAAATGGAAGCCAACATAACATCTACCACCCGATTCTACAGACCAACCACCTAATCGGATCACATATAAAACCGCCGAAACGAAAATCTAAACCTATAGAAAACGTGAAACATAACCACTAAAAATGAACAAATCCAGCAAATTCTCAGGAGAAAGGAATATATTACAACCTCGGCATCGAGCGGGTCATTGGCATACTGAACCTCAGCAGCTTTGCGAGCATGCTCGAACATCAGGAGACGATCAAAGTCCGCCGCCGAGAAATCCATCGTCGAGATGCAGGAAATATCTAGGGTTCAATGAAGACGAAGTCGGGGTTTTCCCCATCTATATATGCTCATACGAGGGTTTTAGCCTCGGCGATGGCAAGATATTTCTAATAGAATTGGGCCTAACTGGGCCCATTTATCCATAATGGCCGATAGATAGACCTTTTATGTTGTCGCGTTGGATGCACGTTCGGCGATATCACCAATCCGGCGTTTGCATTTGAAAAAACAAGTTGGCGTTGGCGTTTACGAATGTAAACTACGATTTGATGGTCAAAAGCGAACGTAAAAGATATCGCCAAAGCGTGCATCAAACGCAAATTGCGTTTAATTTAACGCTTACAGTTTTGCGTTGTATTGATGATTGAACGCAAGCGTTTGAACATAACAGTTTGTGTTTGGACTACTGCGTTACAGTAAAAGACAAAATACAAAATTATTATACATCTCCCGACATAAGATTCGTGGACGCATTAATTGTCGGTCGAGACATTAATAACACAAGATTAAGCTTGTTGGTCGGAGATTTAATCGACCATTTTTTCTAATCCAATTGCAATTATGAATACTAATAAAGAGAAAAGCGAGTTATAGAACTTTTAAGCTTTAGATTTTTTGTTTTAATTGTTTTCCTATATGGATTCAATTATTTGAAGAATTTTAGCATCTTGGTTTATAGTTGTAACTTTCAATTTCCAAATATAAAAAGCTCTTTAAAATAAATTTAAGGAAAAAATCCCTAAAAAATTTGAACTTGCAAAAAAATATACAAATAAACCTTCAACTTGTAAAGTTGACATTTATGTTGGTTTAGATGTTCTATATGTTGCTTTACGATATGAGTACCGTGACATTTTATATTGACAGATGTTAGGATCGGACGTAGATAAATCACTGTTAGATAATTAAATTGATATGAGAAAATAAATAATGGAACACCTGAAATTTACATAGTTTGGCAGAGTGCCTACGTCCACGGGTGAACGGTAGAAGGATTTATACCGACTGTTAAGGAATTATAACTTTTCTCTCTATTATAAGGAGAATAGAATAATAATTCTCTCGTATACATGAGAAAATAAACTCTCAGAAATAAAAAGAAAAAACCCGAAAAAATAGAAGAGACTCAGATTTTTTTTCACTCTCTCTTTCTTCCCTTTTCTCTGTTGTTTTGGATTTGATGTGGGATGATCGAATTGCTCCTCCCGCATACTCCTTATATAGGCATACTAAGGAAGAAATGGCCAAAAAAGTAGGTCCTACACTGGTAAATTTTTTTTAGCAAAACTTGCACCGTTGTAGTACCGTCCAGCCTCCAGCCACCATCTTTTACCATATAAAGTGGTTTTGGACTTTTCATTCTCCCACTCAAAACCACTTTTGTTGTATTCCTTCCTCCTTTCTACCTCGCCATCTTCATATTGCTTACGTTTCTGCTAAACCCATAAAAGATCGACACCAGACGAACTTTTCATTGTTTACTGGCTTTGTCATCATATCCGCCATGTTTACCTCCGTATGGATTTTCTTAATAATTTTCTGAGTTGACGACGTCATGCTTAAATTTGGTCCTTGTATTGCAACTAAAACTCCGATAATATTTGCAACATTAGATAATATAGTGAATATAAAATCCCCTATTGATGTTTTTTTATAGTAACACATACCTGACAAGTCTTATTTTTTATCCGCCAATGCCAAAAAATCTTCATATAAACATATCTGGAATTTCTCTTTGGCATTATTACAAGTGGTTGCAGCAACCTTTTGAACAGTAGTATATTCCGTAAAACAAATACGAAAGTTCTTTTCTGTTAACTTGTATCTATTTTTATTTGATATAATTTTGAAATGGCTGATAAGGAATATATCTTCCTCGTTTATTATATGCTTAAATTTTTTTCCATGTTAATGAAATATTGTTCCTTCAACAACATCCTCCTGCAATGTTGTAAGTCAGACAAATTAGATTACTGTTAATTATAACTTAGTAAAATATACTAAGCAGAACGTACATTTTCATCAATTACTAAGAAGTCAGTGTTAATGTATTCATCCCCATTGAAAGGATTGTTGTCATCCCATATCCTAAGAAATCTGACCACGATACACTGATAAGTGTCATGTATTCTCAACTATTTCAATCTTATATGGGTTGATATCATTGGTTGGCTTTCATCTTTGAATTCCTACAATAGATTTAGTCTGATCAATAATAAAATTATTCATAATATAGTATGTTCATTCATTACTTTCATAAGAATATATCATTGGTTTGAATAGAGTAATTTTTATACTAACACATAAATCATGCTTCCATGATCATGTTACAAATATAATGATTAGTATTAGTAGAAAAATAACAGTGTTATAAATTTGTAATGTCGTGGGTACATTGCAAAAAGTTTGTATATATATCTGGTACATTCCAGTTTCACAATTTTACTACGTCATGTACTTTACATACGAAAAAATGGTGAATATATGTTTATTGTTCTTTATATATAACCTCATGGTGTTGATAGTCCGTTGAAGATTTCTTTGAAAATAATGTTGGTGACAACACAGTTGTCATCGTAGTATTTCGTGTTATCTAGGATTTTTATTCCTTTTGCAGAAGTGACACGGGAGAGAGCCACATACAACTGACCATGGCTAAAGACCGGACGTGGGAGATATAAGGCTACTTGTTTCAGACTTTGCCCTTGACTTTTATTTATTATCATTGCGTAGCATATTCTTATTGGAAATTGCCTTCTTCGTAAGGACCTTCTTTCCAGGGTTTGGGCCGGTCATAATTTCTGCCTCCAAAACTCTTTTTCCCAACTGAGTTATAATTAGTTGTGTCTCATTGCAAAGTCCTTCTTTTTTATTGATATTTCTTAGCATCATCACAGGAGCTCCAACCTTTAAATCTAGTCGGTGACTCGATAGTCCAGGGAATTCTAGAGAATTCAGATATTCGACGGGGTATAAGGATTGACAATCAGTTCCAGGAGCGCTATCAATGCCAATGCTGTCTGAGCTTAGATACTCTGTGGTTTGTCCCGGAAGCTTGGAGAGCAAGAATGCATTTACTTCATGCTCAGTTTCGTTTATGGGTGTTAATATTGCCCTCTCTTTAAGATACTCATGATCTAGGAATGAGTTTTGAAACTGTGGATACGCGGCTTCTGAAATTTGTTTCAAAGGGTCACCCGTACTTTGGAGCATTAAGGCGTTGTCTATTAAAATTCTATCTTCTCCGGCAAAAACGTTAGGGTTTATATCTCTTCTTGTTGTTGTCTCATTCCCCACTTTCAAGATCCATTCTGCAAATTCTATTTCAGATCGACTAAGTCTCATGTTATGCGTTAATGTATAGACGTTTCACGATGCTCATAGATATGAGCGACTCACTGTCGCTAGAACAGTATCTGGACGCCCTCCTTGTTGCACCACATGTAATATTTGTTTGAAATCCCCTCCAAGCAGTACAGTTTTACCTCAAAATGTATTTTCTACTATTGTTTCATCGTTAAGTGACATAAGATCTTTCAACGTACAGTCTAGTGTTTCAAAGGTTTGTCGATGGGCCATAGGGGCTTCATCCCAGATGATTAATTCTGTGCTGGCTAACAATTCGGCCAACATAGTACCTTGCTTTATATCACATGTCGAAGTGTCATGAACATTTAAAGGGATTTTGAATCTCGAATGAGCTGTTCTCCCACCAGGTAGGAGGAGTGCTATAATACCTGACGATGCCACAGGGAGTACAGTCCTTTTTTTGTGATCGCAACCTTAAAATAATTGTTCTGTATAAGAACGTTTTGCCCGTTCTACTAGCTCTGTATACGAAGAAAAGTGTACCCTTTCCATTGTCGATCGAATCTAAAACCGCATCGTACATTGTTTCTTGTTCTTCATTAAGACTGTCAAACAATTTCAGGTGTTCTTGTTTCTCCCATATCTCGTCAATCTGCAATTCCTCTCTTAATAGACTGATTTCAATTTGAGAAGGACAATTTTATCAGGTAGCGGCATGTTTGGAAAATCCCTTAACGATTTATCCTTTTGCATGAGTAGTCTCAATCTCTATAAGAGTATATCGCTGCAGTTCTTTATTTGACAGTTGTAAATTCGACAAGCTGAATTCCTTTTGTTTCTTGTGTTAGATGTCATCGGCAAGTGATTTCCAGCACTTCTCCAAAAGATTATGTGGTTCTCCAACTTCACAATATAGTAGAAGTGTAACAAATAGATGACGTAATTGTCCTGCAGTTGCCCATGTTGATGCCTCCTCTATTGCCTCACTCCATTCATTGTCACCACCTAGTAATCCCCTAGCTTGGAAAGGTTCTTTGAAGGTATTGTATTTGACACCAACATAGGTATAAAAGTCGTCGTAACTGCGCAGTCGTTTTACGATATTTATTAACATTCTTAAGTAGTAGAGCTCTCCTGCAGCTGGGTGGATGTTAACTACTCGGCCTACACTGAATCCTTGTTTTCTCTGAGTCCAATATTTGCCAGTATTATTCCATACGTACATTGTTGGGAATTTCACATATGTTAACCGCCTTGCTTCTTCGTACTGTTTGTTAGTGTTCATCCATTCTGTAAACATTGTTTCCCGTGTGCTAGGACGTCCCACAACACTTTCAAGATTCGCTGAATCGGCAAATATTAAGCTCTGTTGATTTGGGAGATGTATCGCTAATCTTGTGACTGGAGGTTTCTGGTAGTGTATGTGAAATGACAATAGTCTCCACACCGCCTCATATGCAGATAAGTAACGACTTTCTAGGTAGTCGTCTATCTCATTTATTTGATACCCATGCTCTGTCTTCTTATCAGTCTCCTGTATTATACTCGTTCCTTTATGAATAATTATTGTTGCCTTATCCACCCCTTTTGTGATGTAATTGAATAGATATTTAATAGCCGTCGATTTACTGCACCATTCGACATTGATGTGTGCATTGTATTTCTTCAGAATCTCTAAGTTATGTGAGACCATGAACCGGTTATCTAATCTTACATCTCCTTTCATCACAAACTTTGATGCATCATTC